ACCCGAGGTTACCTGGGACTCTTGTCTATTTCCTACCTCCTGGAGGATAGCTAAATAATCTTCATCAGGTTCATCTTCTTATTTAGCTTCTCTAGGATCACGAATAATAGGCTCAAAGACCTTTAATTATGGTTAGAATCCACTTATGACTGAATACATACCGTGTTCCTCTTTTTGGGTCTGGCTTACCTCACTCAGTAAAGCGTTTTCTATTTCCATCCATTTGCATGCAAAATTCAAGATGTCAAGATTCCCTAACATACTACAAAAGCATTTGTTCAACTATGTTCATAGCTGCACTATTTGTAATAGCCAGAACATGGAAACAACCTAGGTGCCCCTCAATAGAAGAATGGTTAAAAAAGGTGTGGAACATATATACATTAGAGTTTTACTCGGCAGTTAAAAACAATGACATCTTGAATTATTGGCTAACTCTTACATATTAATTTAATCCATTTCTATCAATCTGTGTATTGTCATGGGGCTGTGGCTTACTGGCTAAAGTTCCGGTAAGGCTACATGGCTTTTATTTGACTCTGTCTACTTTTTCCCAGCATTCAGTTTAGTTTTTCCTGCCTATCTATGTTCTTCCCTGATATTGGTCCAAAGCAGTTTCTTTACTCATTAATGGTAATCACAGCATACAGAGGGAAGTCCCACATAAGACTGGTTATCCTTTGCTTTGTGTTTAATATCCACTTATGAGTGACTACATACCATGTTTGTCTTTCTGGGTCTGAGTATCCTCACTCGAGATTTTTTTTTTAGTTCCATCCATTTGCCTGCACATTTCAAGATGTCATTGTGTTTTAAGTACTAAGTAGTACTCCATTGTGTAAATATACCAATATTCTTTATACATTCTTTGATTGAAGTGCATTGAGGTTCTGGCTATTATGAGTAATGCTACTATGAACATAGTTAAGCAATTGTCCTTGTGGTATGAGTGTGCATTCTTTGGGCTGGAAAGATGGCTCAACCATTAAAGGGTAGGCTCACAGCCAAAATTATGTTTTAGGTTTTAATATGTGTCTTGTCTTTGTATACATTGAAATTTCATTTTAAAATAATCATCTTAATTTTATTGGCAGTCACTGACTTGATAATATTTTTTACCATAGTCTGATGTGGGATTACCCTCTATATGCTGTGAATACTGTTGGTTAATGAATAAAGCTGCTTTGGTCCTATAGCAGGACAGAATAGAGCTAAGAGGGAAAACTAAGCAAATTGGTGCTCCAACATGTAAAACCTGAAAAACCTTGGAAAGTAATTCTAGACACAAAAGAACAGAATTAAGCATGTTTTCTTGGTAGCTGGCATTTTTTTTTCCTGATGGGCTCTGTTTGCAGGCAGAGAGTAGGGGCTCTGTGGATTCTTTAAGAGAGGTCTTCCTGACTCAGCCGTAGCAGCAAAAACTGTGTGGCTTCTTTAAGAAGGCTTCATGGTTCCTGCTAGTTACAGGAACAGCTCTGGCTCTTTCAGGAGGACAAACACTTGAGTTGGGTTTTGGGCCCGGTTGCTTTTATGCTAGCTCCAGGTTAGGAGGAAAGGAACTGAGAGCATGCCTGCTACTCAGTACTCTGGCCTGGGCTCGGGTCTGCTAGGTGTGCACAGGCAGGAAAGCATGGAGAATTCCCACGACTATACACAGAGACATTAAGGGTTCATGTTGCACAGTGCTACCCAGAGTTGAGGCGGTGAGCATGGTTCACACCCGGCAGCCCTAGAGTGGGCAGTAAGCTACCTCTGCCTTATTGAAAGCCTGAGAGAGGCAGAGCCAGCATTCAGAGTCTCTGTGACTAAGCTGCTTACCATTTTAAAGCATTCCTGGTCAAAATGATATTAGATACACAATAAAGACAGATTCAGACAGAAATAAACCTCTGAATAGGTCACAGTGTGTTTAAAAATGTATGTAGGCTTGGGAGAGAGAAGAAGAGTATAGAGAGTTATAAAAATAAGTAAATCATTTCAAAAAATAAAACAAAGTCTTTAAAGACACAGAGTACAGGCAGTCATAGATTAAAAGAGTAAAGAAAAATAAGCCACATAAAGATGGAATATACACAGATTGTCTGGATTATGTATTTTTTTGCTTTCTTTGAATTTTTTGACTGGGAATGAGCTGCTAAGGCAAATTATATATATATATATATTAAAGGTATCTTGACTTCAAAATTTGGGCCTAAGTTTATGTTGCTTTGGAAAAGAGGATCTGATTTTGTTTCCACAGAAGATGAGAACCTGTGGATTCCTTTCAGACTAATGTGGTTCAATGAAACAAGACCCCCTGAAAGGTCTGGGTAAACCTGTAAAATTACTTCGCCCAACAAAAGCAGAAAACAGTTTGGAGAACTATACCCAAATTCCTTAAATGATTTTTTATAAACATTTATTTGCATTTATAAGGGGTATATGCTATAGAGATGAATACTTTGCATTGGTATGGATCTTGGTCTATTGATAAATTTAAGGCCAACTTTGTTATATTTATATTTCTGCTCTTGATTAAGGTATTGTGGTTTTGCAATTCATTTTAAAAAGTAATCTATAGTTAAAAGTACAGATTAATAGATAGTCATTTAAAATAATCAAACTTGTAGTCATGTTAGTTAGGTATTCATATATACAGAGATGTATTTTAGATGAATAAGTATTCTTCAAAACTTTCAAAGATGTACAGAATATGGCATTTAAAATGTTTTAAGAGCTTAGGACTTTTCATGACAGTGAGACACATCTGCTCCTGGCAGTACCAATCTACTTCAAGAGGAAATTAGGAATCAAAGAATCTCCTTATGAAGTTTGTTAGTCACTTTGAAAAGAAATTGCTATTGCCTGAACTGCTTTAATGTATGCTGTATGAACTGGACATGCAGAACCCACAGAAAAGTTACTGCTGAACATTACACAAGATGGGATTGTCCTTCATGTTACCTACTTCACAGAAGAAACTACCAGACATTCTGCATGACACAGAAAACAACTGATGGACTTTGCCATTACAAGGCAGAACAGATCTTCAAATTTCCTGATTCATGGAAAAGTCTGCTGAATATTATGGGCCTGTAGGCTGAAGACGGATGCCCCAATGTTACAGAAGAACTTTGGGTAACTGAACAGGCAGTGAGGTATCTCTGTCAGTTCTAGAGTTTTGGAACTTGCTTACAATGCACTTCCTGTTTACTTAGGTATTATATCCCTCTGGAGTCTTTGATGAAGTTGAACAATAGATAGTTATAGTTTTCCTTAGTTAAGATAAAAGATAAAGTAGATATAAACATTTTAACTCTAATTTTTCCTTGAAACCTGATTTGTTGTACATAATCTTGCTGTGTTAAAGTTAAAACCTTCCTTTTTATTTAGACAGAAATGGGGAGGCAATGTGAGATTCCACTCTATATGTTGTGAATACAATTGGTTAATGAATAAAGTTGCTTTTGTTCTATAGCAGGGCAGAATAGAGCTAGGTGGGAAAACTAAGCTGAATGCTGGGAGAAAATAGATGGAGTCAAATAGACAGCATGTAGCTGCTCCAGGAGATAAACATGCCAGAACCTTGCTGGTAAACCATGAGTCTTGTGGTAAGATACAAAATAATAGAAATAATTTAAGATGTAAGTGCTAGCTAGAAATAAGCTAAGATATTGGCCAAACAGTATTACAAATAATACAGTTTCTTTGTGATTATTTCATGTCTGGGCAGCTGGGAACAAATGAATAGTCTTGGCCAACAATAGTCAATGCTGCTATTTATGTTTCTATTCATTTTCCTCTTTTGATATATACAAACCACAAAGAAGGACTGTTTTTCTATAAGCAGAGAATAATTTCTCTATTGATTTTTATTGTCTTTATAATGCTGCTTGTAACACTGATTAGAAAATTTTGGATAAATTCATTAGAAAAATTATTGAGAATGCCACTAGCCTTTTTTGATTGAATGGATGAGTTTATTAAGTTGAGAGAGAGAGAGAGAGAGAGAGAGAGAGAGAGAGAGAGAGAGAGAAGATAGGCCAGGCTTAGGTGACATAGCAAGTTCTAGGGTAGTTTGGGATATCGTTTATATCTTTATCTCAAAAAAAAGGGAAGAAAGAGAAGAATTAGGAGAGGAAGAAGGAATGAAGAGGAAGGGGAGGAGAGAGGCAGAAAATAGATTTGCTGGAAGCAGAAGAAACTAACAAAGGTAAAACTTGCATTTATCATTGACACAAACTTCTGAAGAGTAAGTTTATTGGGTGTTAACAGATTTTGTTATATACAACTGCTCAAACAACATTTTATTCTTTTTAATTTTATGGGTGCTTTTCCCCCTAGGTTTAGGCATTGTAGAGCCATTGGGCCATATAGATTTTTACCCAAATGGAGGAAAACAACAGCCAGGTTGTCCTACAAACCTTTTTTCAGGTATATTAAAAGTATTTTAATTCTTTTTTCTTTTATAGAAAATAGACTTTTTTCCAGATGATATATTCTGAGTACAGTTATACATGATTCAAAATGATATGAGAAAATAGCTGACCGTTTTGATTTCATAATCTGTGGGTAATATTTTCATATTATGTTTTTTGCTAATGACATAGAATAGTTATTGACAAGATATAATTTAAATTGATACCATTCAATACCCATAGGTTACTAACATAAACAACATTTAGTAATGGATGAGGATTTTTTCTGTGATTTTAACAATTTTAGTTCATCATTTTAAGCACAAATAGAAATTTTAAGTCATCTTGAACATATACAGCTAAATATCCTAGAATTTGAGTTTGATCCCACAATTTAGCACTTATGATCAACACGTTACCACATATACACAGATTTGTCAACTGTGACCACTTGGTTGTACCATACATGTAGTGATGCGTGGCCTCTGAGTGTGAAATATAGCTCACTTTAGCACCATGGCAGGTTTACACATGGTCAAATGCCGCCACGACTAGAAAAGTTCGAACTAAAGGAAACATGTGTGAAAGATTGGGAGAGGGAAGTAAGATCAGTGAGTTGTAACACTACTTGTCTTCAGAAACATGTTTTACATTGGACCAAATGTTTAGAGGTATAAAGTAAGAAAGTAACGGCACTATAATAGTAATAGTATAATTGTAGCTGTACACATGTGTAGCCTGTTAAATTTAAACAGCCATGCTTTACATTTAATACTTAGAGCAAATGTCTTGTTTATTTCATGAGAAATATTATTTCATGAGAAAGTCATGCCCAATTTAAGATTTTAATTGGTTGATATGTAACTTTTGTGGTCAATGCTTTGCATGTAAAAGAAACACAGAATTTAATATAACTCAATGGTCAGTATTTCTCTAATTCTCTTGAACTCAATTTTATCGTTGTTTTGTTTGTTTTTCTCACCCTTAAGGAGTTAATTACATAAAATGTGACCATCAGAGAGCTGTCTACTTGTTTCTTGCATCTTTTGAAACAAACTGCAGTTTTATTTCATTTCCTTGTTCCTCCTATGAAGATTACACTAATGGTTTATGTGTGGACTGTGGGACCCTTTCCAAAGACTCCTGTCCTAGGCTTGGTAAGGGAACTTATATTTATTAAGATTCCTTTGGAAGATGAATGTACTAGGAGAGGATGGGACGCATACTGCCACTTGGATAGCTTAATCCCCAAAATAATCACACAGAAATATTATTAATTAAATTACTGCCTGGCCCATTAGCTCTAGTTTCTTATTGGCTAACTCTCACATCTTGATTAACCTATTTTTATTAAATCTGTGTATCACCATATGGTTGTGGCTTACTGGCAAGAGTCTAACCTACGTCAGTCTCAGGCCAGAAATTCATGGTGTCTGCCTGACTTTGCTCTTCTTTCCAGCATCCAGCTCTGTCTTTCCCACCTACCTAAGTTTCTGCCCTATCAAAAGGCCAAGGCAGTCTCTTTATTCAACCAATGAAAGCAACACATCCTACACCAGATGAGTAACATCATTGTGGTAGTATTTTAGACTGGAGGCTAACTTGTGATTCATAAAATCTTCTAATATATTATGGTTTGGTAGAAATTATCAATGGGGATAGTGGTAGATTTAGATTATATATTTCCTACCATTTTTCCTAAGGAATTTGCCCACCCCTCCTCCTAGGCATACAATCAGAAATTTCTACATTCTACATTCTTTTTCTTTTAATAGGAAATCTTAGGCACAAGTGAAGAGATGTGCATCATAGTTAGGTTCACATTTGCTCTCATCAGATAATCAAAAATTACATGTGATTCATGCTTTCCCTATCAGTAAGACATAGCAAGGACAGTTACATTGGCAGCTTTTGAAAATGAAAGTCAGCCAATGGAAAATACAGAAAAACAATAGATTCTACAGAAGATAGGATTAAGTAGAAGGAGGTAAAGAGGATTGGGGTATGTCAATATACCATATATTTTATAACAAATATGTTTATAGTTATTATACATATAAATAAAGTAGTAAATAATGTGTTCAAGTAAAAATAAAAAATAGAGCTTTAAAGAATTTCAGATACTGTTCAGTATTTTCAAAAGAAAATATTAGGTCTCAGTATGGTATAAACATATCAATATATGGTTAGTATTATGGAAGGGTTTTCCTGAAATGTTTGCAAAGTCAAAGCATCTCTAGGAATGGGACTGAAATGAACCCAGTGCACCAAGCTTTACTTAACCCTACTGAATGCACATGGACATCGTTATATAAAGCATGATCCATCCAGGATTTGTCAAATCCTCATTTCCATACAATTCTTCTGTCCACAAGACCGAGAAGTAAAAAACAAAAACAAAAACAAAACTTGTGTAAATTATCCCAATTAGGGGAATTTGCTTTTACCTCTAGATGGGATTGCTTTTCTGATGGCATCATTTTTCCATCTGTGAGTCAAAGCAACTATATAAATTGCTTAAGAGCACAAGATTGAGCTGAAGTTAAAATTTCTGAAATTTAAGTTTTCTCTTTGCTATATGAACACACAAAAGTTTTGATGTAGATATAAAGAGACACTTGGCAATATTTAATGGACCACTAAATTAGTATTCAGTATGCACAAATATAAGAAATACATTCAAAACATAGGACTTATATATGTATTTATATTATTTATATGCTTATATATATTATGGCACAATACAATATTGTAGCTGTAGGATAATTTTGGGTCTTCATTCATGGAACTAAACTGCATGTTAAAATTTTATGCAACTCACTTATTCTGGTGAATTTGCTAAAAAGAGTTATGCAAAACTTCTGAATATATAATATGGTATAAAAATGGTAGAAGTGTATCTCAGTCATACAAATTATGTCAGGATCTGATAGAACTTTCAGAGAGTGTGGTGATATTTGTGAATCCTGAACGTGAGTTACTTTAAAAAATCATTGTAAAACATCTTACATATTTCCCAACGTATCTTTTAATTTATATTTGATGCTGTACACTGATTTTTAAGGGCTTTAGTGATATGAAGAATTTTTGTGCTACTTGATGAAATTCAATTCCTGTGCATATTTCTCAAATCTTAGGTAACCAAGCTAAGCTGTGGAAAGAAGGTTTTAAGAAAAGAATGGAAAGTTGGCCTTCCAGGACCATTGCATTTTTAGATACTAGCAGCAAAAATCCATTCTGTGGTAAGTGGTTAGAATTTACATAAGTGAACCATTATGCCCAAGTATATGTTATTTAGGGATAACTGAAACCATCTTTATAACTAATCTTTAAAAATGAATTTGTCTTGCTTTCTAAACCTGTAAATTAAAGGGTCAAGTTACTTATTTTTCAAGCCCAACAGTTAGCCAAGTAACATAGGGCAGGCAATGTCAATCATGGGGGAAAAAGATATAATGACAGTGGTGCCAACATTCCCAAACAATTTTAGCATCAATCCAGGCTAGCTCCATTTAGTTTCAAGCTCTTAAGATTTCTGCACTCACATATCCATCTCTTTGATGCTCTTCTCCTTTTATTCCTATCTCTCCAGCTTCTTTCTTCATCTTTTCTTCTCCAACTACTTCTTGCATCAAAAATTCATTTATAGTTCATAATTTCAATTTTCTCCTTATATATCTTAACTTCCCCATCTCTCACTTTTTCTTTTCATTATTAATATCTTTATTTCTAAAATAAAGCCTCGTGATCACTTTTCAGTAGTCATTTCGGCTAATTATTTTTAAAGCTTTAGTTTTTTACCAGTGTTTGTGTTTTTGTGTGTATATTTATGTGTGCACATATGTGTGTGTTTGTGTGTGTGCCCACACTCATGAATGCAGGTGCTCATAGAGACCAAAGGCATTTAATCCCCCTGGAGCTAGAATTAGAGGCATTGGTGAATCACTTGACATGTCTGCTGGGATTTAGACTCCTGTCTTCTGCCAGAGCAGTATGACTCCTAATCATTGAACAAAACCTTTCTAGTTCACTGCGAGCCCTTTTGTTTTGGAATAGCACTCCCTGCAGCATGTATCTATTCGAGGTATAACAGCTCACTAGGCAAAGAAATAGATGATTAAAGTTGGCAAGCAAATTTAGTTGTATGTATTAATGAGGTAATTAAGAGACTTACAATATTTAAATATGTCCTTGAAAAACAAAATGTTGCCTTATGTTATTTGATTTTATGTCTTCAGGTAAGTCATAATGTAGTGTCAATTTAACCAAATTATCACCATACTCAAGACTGATGACTGACTAGCAGGTTTTTAGTCTTCAAAATATGACTATTTTTAATGTTTTCTATAATGATGTGACTCCTCATATGTTTGTCACAGTCCAGAGCAGATCCTACTCCCAAGAATAGTTGTGCAAAATAATCTCTAGTCAATAGGGAGAAAAGAATTAGAAAACTCAAAGTTGGGTATTAGAAAGTTAGGGCAGATGTGGTGGATGTGGGAGGAGCTGGGGTGAGGATAAATGTGGTCAGAAATTCTCGAAGAATTAGGAAAAATCTTTTGGAAATAACCCAACAAGAAGTAGAATGCGTTTTCCATTGATAAAATTATTCTCCCTAAAATTTTTGTTTGCATAAAATATGGAAGCATCATGTGTGCTTGTGTACATTTCTTGCATTTGTGACAAAACAAAATAGTTTGTAATATAATATGAATAACATTCTGCATTTTTATTTTGTAGCCTATTATTTTTCTCTCAGTATAGTTCCTTTTAACAAAACTGTGAAGGATGTCTCAATTTCATTTAGTTTATTAAGCCCGCATAACCATTTTTCACATCCGAGGCTCTATGTGTAAGTACCGATTTTTAGTTACTTCTTTGAGAAATTAAATGTTTGCTTATTTGCAGATCTACACATGGTTCGGTAGATAATGCAGAATTAATTTTCTAAGTGCACAGGGTTACATATCATGTTTACCTATTATGTTCTAGTATTTCATTCTATGGGAAGACAGTGAATATGTAACAGGTAGCACGTGGTTCACTGCTCATGGTCACAAATGTTAAAGGAACGGGAGAAGTCATTTTCATTACATATTTGACCCTCAACTCCAATATTCATCCTCACCATCTTGCTTGCTCACTTCCTCCAGATTTTATGAAATATGATTTTCGCAGTATTGTAAATAAAACTACAGGGGCATTAGTCAATGATAGAGTGACACAAATTTAACATTTAGAAAACTCCATATAACAAAGCTCCCAAATAGATGTTGAGGTATCTTTTTCCTCAATTCCAAATGAATTTTTACACGGGTATGACTGTATGTACACGTTTCTAATGTCACTTAAAGTTCAAGCTCATTTTGAGCTCAAGTTTGCAGAATATCTGTTTATATCTTAGATAAATTCTTAATTTTTTTCTCTTAAGCCAAAGAATAATATAAAGGTTCATTTTTGTTTAAAATTACTGTTTCCAATGTGCTGGTTTAACCATCTAGAAAATGAAACTGTTTTCACGTCTGGTAATTAAATAAATAATAAACTTTATTTAGCTGTTAATATGGCATAAATTGGCTTCAATCTTTCCTGTTATTGGTGACTTTTGGTTTTCAGGAGTCATAATTCTTTTCTCCAAAATTTACTGTCATTGCAGCTTAAATAATAATAACATATGAACTGGCCAATAACCTAAATGTAATGTGTGGTGAGTCTTGGATCTTAACATATTGTAACACACAGGTTTATTCAGTTGTCATCTATGAGAGAGGAAAACCTCCCTGATTGGAAGCAAGTTTAGTTATCAAACAATGGTAACAACCTCCTAAATATTACAATGCTATTAACATTTAATTAAAAATCTGCAATGACATAAAAATATAGTACATAGCCAAATCACATAGTAGATGTGATATGGAACATAGAAAAATTCCAAATCTTGGAATTTATGAAGAAGATCAAAAGAAAAAGTTTCATGGTGACAAAAAATTGAAAAACTTCATAATGAAGTAGAACTAAGAGCTTCCATCATGGGTGCTATGATCATTCTCAGAAATGAAATACTGTGTCAACATCAGGAAAGTAAAAATTGAAATAAATATTTTGATATTACAATACATAAATATAACATTTAAATTAATAAGAGTCATTGCAGATGACAGGAAAATGATGGTGTAAAATAATTTTTTCTTCCCATTTTCACCTCCTTTCAATCACTCAAAAAGATATAGAAAATATATAAGAATTATATTCTAAATTCCTTACTTTTGTCAAGGTCCATGTTTCATTAAGAGAACATTTTGTCCAAGATTGAACATTGATCGTATATTGTATATTGAACATTGATCGTATATTGCTGCTCAGTAAATAGTTCATTAATACAGATCTCTTAAATTGTAAAAAGTTTTTGTATATATTATACACACATATATAGCGTACTGTTTATTCTTACCAGAAATATACTGTTAGCTTTTAAATTAATTTTAAATTTATGCTGTTATCTTTTAAATTGATTTTATCCAGCACATTACTTATGACTAAATATATCCAGGTGTTTTAGGGACATCTGCACACTTAAACCGAAATCATGTTATTGTTCAGAAGAAAATCACAAAAGACTGGTGAAGGCTAATGCATAACTGAATCTGTGTAGTGAGCTGCATGATAGATTAGCACTTAATGTGCTGTCAGAAGGCAGAAAAGGAGTAAACACATTTGAAAGTAATACAATCCCATAAGCAAACTGGGAAAAGTTGCTTTGGAAAGCTCAGAGAAGACAGAGTGACTAAACTCAAAAATAGCATGTAGACTAACCTCCTAACGCAGTTGCTCCGATTTTTCCAGTAGGTAAGGAAATTTGTTCTGATTTACTTCGCAAACAGTGAAACACTGTGAAATAGCGATGAATTTTGCTCATAATGGATTCAGTACACAAAGGAATAACATTATGAGGACATGTATATTTATTCCAGTATGTCAACCTAAGCTTGGCTATTGTTTTTCTATTAGAGTTATTTGTCATTTGAACTTTTCTTTGAACACTAGAAGAATCAAAGAATCTTGAAAGACCATGCATTTCCCGTTCAAGAACTGAAATGGGATTATTTGCTCTTTATACAAAATGCCCAAGATTATAGAGAAAACACTTAGAATCATCTTTGAGTATTGCACACATGAATGCTGAACTCCTGTTTGCATTATACTTCCTCCACTTCTTCTTCCCCATCCTGATCCTTCTTCCTGTCCCTCTCCTCCTCCGCTTCCTCCCCTCCCCATTCCACTCACCTGCTCTGTACAGGATCTGTAAACACTCTATGTTTTGGTTCTTTATTTTATTAGTTAATTAGGTCTTCACTGGAAATGTTCTGGCTCCTGATTTTTGTAGATTACTGTAGTGTGGTTATTTTTTTAAAGTCACTTAAAAGTACTCAGTTGTTTTAGTATGATTTGAAATGTAATGTTTTTAAAAATTTAGGATTTTATTTATTTCTTTTTAGTATATTGGTTGTGCATATTTGTTTGTGTGGTGGAAGGGAGGGTACAAATGCTACAGCTTGCATATGAAGGTCAGAGGACATATCACAGGTTTTGAGTCTCTGCTTCCATCACGTGGGTTCCAGGAATGAAACTTAGACTTTTAGGGGTTGTAGGCTTTATATCACCCACACACATGGTAGGCTTTTAAAGAAGGGATATGGGTATTAGATGTTCAGATTATGGCAGTCCATCAGATAAATAATAGTGAGATTAAAGGAAATTTTATAGTCTTCAGAAATAGCTATTGTATTTGTGTGATAGACAAAAGGAACTAAATGAGTTCAGTGGAATAAAATCAAAGACCAAGAGAGAACCTATAAGTTCTAAGGATTCCAAATCTGTGTGTGATGATTTATCTAAATAAGAATATTGAGAAAGGCAAAGTAGTATAGAATAACTGCAAAGTTTGAACTGTATAGCTTCAAAAGTATTCAAAATGTCCTTCCATACCAAACCATAATATGTGAAGTAGAGGGTTTTCTATGGGATGTATCTAATTTAATCATTCAATAAATATTTGAATAAAGTGCATTGGCAAGGAAGCATGTGAAGCTTTATATACATATATAGAGACTTTAAATTAAAGCATATATAAAGCATATATTGTAGTATATATACAGTAGTATATATACACACTAGTATCTTTGTATATACTAGTGCAGCAGATAGACTTTAAATTAAAAGTAAAACCAAAATTATGATATTCATCATTCCTTCAGATGTTCTTTAAGGATTGTTTATACTGAGATAGCCTGAAGACAGTGGAGAGTGTAAGAATTTAGAGACTGACAGTGATAGAGAGAAGGGAAGAAGGAAAGTAAAAGGGAGAGGGGAAAACGAGAACAGAAGGGAAAGAAGAAAGGAAGGGAAGAGAAGAGAAGAGAAGAGAACAGAACAGAATAGAAGAGAACAGAAGAGAAGAATGGAGAAGAGAAGAAAGGAGAAGAGAGGAGAAACCCTTGATACTAAGGAAATAAGAGTTCAGACAGTTGGAAAACCTAGAAGATGTGAATTTGTAGGTGACATTCCTATCTGAGTGTGTTGCAGGAAATCTAAGGAATCTGGATATGCTCTTTGAAATACATAAACGATATACAAAATCAACTTATATTCTGGGGGAAAGTGGGTAACCCTGCCAGGGTGAGAATAGAGATGATCTTTGGAGAAAATGGCTACATCCTTTGGGTAACCCAACTTTTGTAAAGAATAAAAGGGATGACAGAGTACAGATAAGTCAAGCTTGGTAGGAAATGTTGGGGCTTCCACACCAAAGCTGCCGCTTTGCTCTCTGTTCTACATAGACCCTTGTCTTTGTTCCGGCACATTTTGCTGTACCTTTTTCTTCAATGGGGGTTTCCGTGCTCTTTCCTTTTTTCTTATTCCTTCTGTTTTCTTTTTCCCATTTGCTTCTTTCTTCTGACCCAAATCTTGTGGTTTTTCTGGTCCAACTTGCTTAGGCCCTTAATTTTAGCTACTGAGAGATTACAATAGAGAGGGTTCTTGGATTTGAACAAAGCTATAATGACAGGAATTATTTTATAGACTCATATTTCTGCCACACAGAGATGAAGAATTGAGGAAAGGAGTAATAAACAGGATTTAAAAGTATGGATTTACACCACACATGATTAACTAATAGCTTTGTGAATTCAAGAAAGCAATCTGTATGATTTGAAACTAACTTTTCTTGATATGACCATTTTATAATATTGTTAAAAGAAGGTTACTGGCTAAATAAAGTCCAAGTGTATGGTTGAAGCCTTGTTACTATCCGTGATACACTGAGAGTGATCATGAAATTATGTCTATAAAATATTACTTTGACTTTTCATTTTAAATCTCAGTATTTTATTGATATTTTCTTTAAAGAAAATATTCTAAAATGTGTTGGTGAATAACATTTTTCATTTGAAGTCCTAGTCAACAGAAGGAATTGCAGCGGCTGAAGATGACCTACGAAGTCAAATACAGGATAAACACTCTTGGAGAAAATATGCTCTTCTACATGTTCATATGGAGATGCATACGCCCTCCCTGTTATTTTATTCTGTCTTGTCTGACCTCTGCCCTAGAAAACTGCCCCGTGTTTCATTAGCATTGCACTTATTTTAGAAAAGTATGTATAAGTTTATTGACAAACTGAGAATATCGTGGTTTTTTTCCTGCTTAGGAAGAGCAAACCACTTGATAATCTTCAAGAATTCAAGATCCTTGCTCAGTTCAAAGCAGATGTTGTGCACATTTCATGCATTTATATCACATACTTGCAGTCCTCAGATTCCTACTGTGCCACATGCCAACACCTATTCCAGAGTCTCATGTTGAAGTCACTTACCCATCCAGAAAGGTAGGAACTCTAAATTTTTATTACAATATTTTGTCTTAATATTAAAACTGCTCTTTAAGTTTTGGCTAAGAATTTATGTATGCAAATATTGGTTAATTTTATTATAAAAGGATCTCAAATGTTTAAAAAAACATAAAACGTATTTTTTATCTTGAGTGATACTTATGGTAGTTCATAATTACATTATCTGAGCATTAGAAAAACACATAATAATTTCAAAAGGTATTGGTAGTGTTGAAATTGACACAATACAGTCCTAAAAGATTTATATTTTCCTTTTTCTTTATTTTTAGCTCAAAAACAGTTTTTTTATTAGAGTTTAAGAGAAAAAGAATAGGTCAAGAAAGCTGCAAATCTCAGCAGCTGCAGCGAGGATCGAGGCAGAGAAGAGACTAGGAGAGAGAGACAGAAACCCCGTTCTTCAAGTTAGGGTGGACAAGGTTTCAGGCGGGATTCTTAACACCATTGAAAAAGTCAGGCATTGTTCTACACAACTACCATTCCACTATTGGATAAATGGATACAGGGGAATCATGGGACTTTCTGACCAGCCAGGCTACTCTGCTCAGTAATCTCCAGGTTCCATAAGAGATCATATCTCAAAGAATTTAATGTAGAAAATGGTAGGGAAAGATAGCAACATTATCTTCTGGCCTCTGCATGTGCATACATAGGTACACATGCACCACATATATACACATGCTTACATGCATATCTCATGCATAAGTACATGCACCACACATACACACATGCATGCATACATATCACATATATATCCCACCTACATGCCAATAATAAAAGAAATGGTTTGTGGACTGATTGTAATCTCTTTAGTTGGTTGTAATGTTTCTACTTTAATTCACTTTTTACACACACACACA